GAGAGAGAGAGAGACCACTACCTATCAGTCCATTTTCCAGGCGAGTTTGGGCCCCCAATATGTATGTGGGTATAAATCAGCGGCCCAAAAATTGAAATACTTGCCCGGTTGGTCCAGTACTGTGAACCCTGTGAACTCAGAACTGAGAGTCTGTGACCACTCTGTATGCTCTTTTATTTTTGTTTTGTTTAAAATAAAAAATGAATATAAAAAAAGAAAAACTCTGTAGAAGTGCAGTCACAAAAAAACAAATCTGTGTTGTGAAATAGTATTTATTTATATTTAGAAACTCCAGAGAAAGGCAGAAACTGACGAGAAGTGAAAACAGGAAACTGCGAAAAAAGACAACAACAACAGTATAAAGTCCAAAACAGAAAAACAAAAACGACGAGTTTGAGGGTAAATAGTAAATATGAGTATGAGAGAGAAGGCAGCCAGCCACCTTTGACCAGCTCCACCAGTGAGAACCTTTTGGGCCTTTAGCCAGAGAGTATTCAGCCTCACTCCCCGTGCGCCGGGTTCAGTTTTCAATTTTTTTGTATACACACAAGAAAATTATTTCCATACTTGCTGGTGATTGGTCGTCAACAAGCACACCATTGAAGAAAGCCTCAGAAAGGGTTGATTCTGTTGGGAGGGAAAAAAAACATGTTGGTTGAACACGAGTCAGCGACTCGGCATGAAACTATGATCGCGGACTCGCGGTAAGATGCCAACAAGTTGGTTGTTCACCGGTAGTTTTCATTGTTCAGTGTTCACTTGGCTGAAAAATGGCATTCAGCCCCACAATTTTATATATGACACACTTCACCACCAGCAACTCACTTGTGTGCGTGACCAGATATAAATATAGTTGTTCAAGGTGCGTAACTGTATACGCTCGCCATCATGACTTCACAATTACTAGAGGTCCATAGGTACCAAACCTACAACATGTCATACTTCGAGGACGGTATGCGTCTAGATTATAACACCTACGCCGGTATACCGACGTCGCACGATTTCAAGCAGGTAAGTTCTCTACTCCGCATTATACACGCCAGCGTAAAGTTGATTCGTGAATGCTCCGGTCAGAATTCGTATCTCTATCGGCGGCGAAATATTGAACAGTTACGCATTATTTGTGACTAATTTGTTCACTCTTTCTTGTACAGGTTTGGCACTACTTTCCCGAGTTGGAAGCCCTATACCCTTTCACCTTTGAAAATGACTGGAATGGATATTACTGGGCAGAATTCTGCAAAGACAATATGACGATACCTTTCATTGCCGTGGCAGTGTACTACATTGGCGTCTTTGGAGGACAGGTATTATCTAGCATTATATTTATCAGCGCTTTAGCGTTCAATTTGGATGTGATATTCTGAATGCGTGTGCCTAAACTGAACATACCAACTGTTCGCGAGCCTCGTTGTACAATTCTATGACTGATAATCTTCTATGACGTAGTGCGAATGGGTTCTTTTTCGTTGCGGTGAGATCTAGATTGTAGCAGGATGACCTGTATTTATTCATCTCGCTGCAACGCAAGTATCACCTTGCTCGCGTACGGATGGTGGGCTATCTTAAATGTGTGTCGATGTGTCTCATTGCCTCGTTTCCTGGGTGTGCATAGATCACGGAGTGAGAAGATTTGTGATTGTTACACGGCACATTCAAAAACAACAATGGAATTTGCAACTGATTTTCCGGCATCTGAGTGTATAGCATTGTGGTTAATACGCCAAATAATAAGTAGTCCACATGTAAAGCTGTACATAGGTGCGGAAGCAAAGTTTTATATCGCGGGTTCTGTGAAAAACCGCTAAATATTAAGCAGTTTACAATTTAACTGCACACGAATGTCGGATCAGACTTTCACACGGCGGGTTTAGATCAGGCTTGACTATGGCATGTTAAAAATAGGCCTGGCTGAGAAACGCAACTCACGAGACGAATAGTTAACTACACACGAATTTTAAGACATACTTTTACATGGCGGGTTTAGATCAGGCTTAACTATGGTCTGTCCAAAATAGGCTTGGCTGAGAAGCACAACTCATGAGACGTATAGTAGTTGAATATGCTATCCGTATATCTTCCAGATACAGTCATAAGGCTAGACGCCTTTTAGTAATGTCAATGGTAGTATTCAGTTGACGACATGGTTAGCGCTGGAATATAGCGGTACGACAGATCTCAGCGCGGCTATGTACTCCCTATCTGGAGGTAACGGTATCTGTAGTGAGGTGCATTTAGGATAGGCAGGCCCATGCAGTCTGTATAAGAAACTTAGTCAGTATATGAAGGTTAGTATGGGATATTTTAGTCGTGCGTACTGAGTCAGTTGTAGTAGGTAGTCTACGAGAGAAACATGCCGAGTGGATTGCAAAATTATGGAGGCCTACCGATATGTAATATGACTGGTATATTTCGGTGTTAATATACTCGTTATTAGTGGACTAGATGACGCGCTGTGTCATCGTTATGAAAATGAAGCAGGTTAGTTATCACTTCCGTGAGCATGATGTACACCAGTGAAAAAAACCAGCCCTATCACAGCGATATTTTTTCTCGAATAGAATATGTTTATCTATCTATCCTATCTGTCAATTTAGGTTATTTATCTAGTCTATCTTTCTAACAATTTATTACATGTTTATCTATCCTATCCTATATATTTATTTATTTTTAATATCCAGCCTATCTTTCTAACAACATATTTCATGTTTATCTATCTATCCTATCTATCTACCTATGTATATTTAATATTCAGTCAAACGTTAACAATCTATTTCTAGTTTATCAATCCTATCCTGTCTATTTTATTAATTTTTAATATCCAGTGTATCTTTCTAACAATCTATAACATGTTTATCTGTCTGTCCCTGTCTATCTATCTATTTCTAATATCCAGTCTAATCTTTAAATTTATTGCAAGTTTATCTATCCTATCCTATCTATCTATTTTACTATCCAGTCTATCTTTCTAACAATCTATTACATGTATATCTTTCTATTATATCCTTCTGTCTATCTTTCATATCCAGTCTATCTTTCAAACAATTTATTACTTGTTTAACCATCTGTCCGATCTATATTTCAATAACCAGTCTATCTTTCGAATACTCTATTACGTGGTTATCTATACTATCCTTTCTTTATATCTATTTTTTATATCCAGTCTATCTTTCTAACAAATTATTGCTTGCTTAACTATCTGTATTATCTATATTTTAATACCCAGTCTATCTTTCTAACACGCTACATATTTATCTATCTACTCATTCTATCTATCTATGTTAAATACCCAGCTATCCTTCTAACAATCCATTTCCCATCTCCACAGTACCTCATGAAGGATCGTGAGGCTTTCGGATTGCGAATGCCTCTAGCGTACTGGAATTTGTGTCTGTCGCTCTTCTCAGCGTATGGAGCCTTCCGCACGGTTCCCCATCTGCTGAACAACATCTACCAAGTGGGCTTTGAGGCGTCCATGTGTACACCGGCCCCTGAAAGCTACGGACTGAGTGCTACTGGCATGGCTACCACCTTCTTTGTGTTCTCAAAGTTTCCCGAGCTTGTGGATACAGTCTGGATCGTTCTGAGGAAGAAGCCTCTGATCTTCCTACACTGGTACCATCACATCACCGTGTTACTGTTCTGCTGGCACGCGTACGCCACCCGCTCCAGCGCGGGTCTGTACTTCATTTCGATGAACTATTCCGTGCACGCGGTCATGTACTTCTACTACTACGCCATGGCCGTGAAGATCTGGCCCAAGTTCCTGAACCCCATCATGATCACCATGTTTCAGCTATCGCAGATGGCTGTTGGTATCTTTGTTTCTATTATGGGATTCTATTATCGTTATAACGGAACTCCCTGTGCTGTCAGTGACGATAACATGGCCTGGGGCGCTGCTATGTATGCTTCGTACTTCTACTTGTTCCTAGAGTTCTTGGTGAAGAGATACATACTCACGCCCAGCGAGTCAGTCGACACAAAGAAAGCTGCCGTTGACGCCAAGAAGGCTGCCGTGTCCAAGAAGGAGGAGTAGATTTAGTAGCAATACCTTACAAATAGGGATGAGTATATATATGAATGGAAATAAATGCGCGCAAGTTGGCGGTGCCACATGGCGTTCGATATTGAATAAAGAAGAAAAAAATCATGCACAAAGCACTCCACCACACCGAAATTCATAAATATATAAAACAATGCTGCATATATATTATATATATATATATATATATATATATTAGTTGAGATTCGAGTCTTTTGCTGAAATCAGGTAGGATCACTATTAGGGCCAGCGAGTCGCACTCTCAGATAGAACTGCATTTGATATTTCTAATTCTGTCGACGTTTCAACTAAACCCCTTCTGCCATGAGACGAGATACTTTGGTTTAGGCGGATAAAACTTGAGCTTCTACTGGTTCCTCGAACAGATATGCTTTCCAGGCTAAGACGAGTCAGGGTTTTTAAGTGTTATGGACCGCATGAGTACGAGAGGTTGCAGTATATGCCACGTCATACTAAAATAGCTCTGTTCACATTTTGTTGGACAATGGTTACATATTTTGTGTGTTTTGTTGTCTAATTTAGAAGAAGGCTCTATCAGATAATTAATTCGGTACGACACTTCAAAGTGAACCGAATTTTTTATAAATTTATTTTATGAGTCATGAGTAGACCTCCAATAAAATATATACATATAAATACATATTCAAACTAATAAAACAATCCCTTATATTAATGGTTGTCAGCTTGCCACCGTTGAACAACAAGCAACTAAGAATGCCTTTACTGCTGACGGATAGCATTTGCTTGTGGTGAAGGACTGGACAGATTCTCATGGCAAATAGTTGTTAAAATGGACTTGACAGTTGAAGAGTTTCAGCAGTTGCAAGATGAATTGAATGCGTTGCGACTCGATAAGGCCGAGGCCGAGAGCGAGAACCTCAGGTTGAAGGTAGGCACCTAGTATATATGTGCACACACACACACACACACACACACACACACACACACACAC